GTCTTACGGGCACGCGTAAAATGCCTGTGCGCATGCGCAGAAAGTTTTTAGCTTTGAGGTCCAGATTATGGGTGTCCAAATTAACGACTTTTGACTGTATTTCCATCCTTATGTGTTTCCTTGTTTGATTTAAAATGCAGTTTATTGAGATTATATATTTTTTGTTTTAATTATGTTTTATTGCATTATGTTTTGGACGCCATTTTATTGAAGAGGGCATTGCACGTAAACAAGAATGGCAGCAATTTTTGCCAGAGGTTGCCCTGAAATATATTTTCCCCTAATTATCGAAAAAAATTGAAAAAAGTCTAAAATATTTTAAAAACAATAATTGGAGACAATTCATTATTTTGAATTTGATATACTTAAATACAGCATCTTGTAAAAGGGCATCAAAGTTCTTTTAACCTGTCTGAAGAGAAATAATATTGGTCGCTAATTAATAAACGTTAAAATTTATAGAAGTGTTTCTGAATGCAAAATAAGTAACATTATTTGTAAAAATATAATGATAATAATAATAATAATAATAATAATAATAATAATAAATAAATTTTTTAATAATGCAGTTGGTAAAAGTCAAAAACATGCTTTTATAGTTGCAGTAAATAGACAAACACAGGGGTTATATCAGAACAGTTACACAAGTACTGTCTGACAATGATACATTTCATGTATGGAAAATCACACATTCCACAATGTAAACTTTCTATAGAAAAAGTGGGTTAGCTGTAATTCAGATTAATGAGGTATGTATAATTTAAACGAACTTAAATATTGTCATAATTAAAATGAAAGAAACGATGAGTAAATGGGTTTTTTGGGTGCTTAATAAGTATGTGATATAATTATATTTTAAAAAACTGAGTGATTTTTCCTTGGAATTCTAGCTGATGCAACCCTTGAAAATTTTATGGTAAGGAGCAAAAAGTTTTTCATTTCCTCTCATAAAGTGTCCTCTTGTTTCTTCATTTGGATAAACTTCCATTGTAAAAAATCCAGCAGTTTCTGTGACTTTTTTAATAACTTGTTAACTTTTTATAAAGGCACTATATCTCCTTTTGGTACTTTTCCGTTTTGCTGGAGCAAATCTCACCAAGCAGACTTTGTTGGTGACAACATACAGTGTACACATAAAAAATTTTAACAAATGTTAGTTCTAAGAATTTTTTATTTTGAAGGCATAAACATTTTAACCTTTTGAAGACGGGATGGCCATTATAGTGGCCATAGAGTGCTCTCTTTGAAAAGACGGGGTTGTCCACTTTAGTGGCTATGTCTTTTTCCCCCATTTTCCAGGCTGAAAAGTGGGGTGAAATGTCAAATTTGACGTCCCTAGGGTTTTAACCACTTATCTTTTTCAAAGGTCTTCCTTTTGCAACATAGATGCACCCCTCTGAGAATCCATTTAACTACACACATCAATCTTTGTTGCAAATAGGAGGTGATTTCTTAAAGGGGGGAAAGCATTCGGTTCAAGATTCCCCGTCCTTTTGTAGCTTTTACTGCTACCAAAGCCCCGGCCTCAAAAGGTTAATATGGTTTAAAATTTTGTAAAAAGACATTAATTTAAGAATTTACTATGCTATCATGGTTCAACATCCTGATTCGCCGGTTCGTATCACGTGACCCCAAAGTGATCTCATCTCACGTAAACTATGCTACAGAAATATCATTCTCTCAGTAATTATCTACATTAATTTCAAGTTAAATCTTAACCTTCTGGGCAGCCAGGGTTTTCATTAAGAAAGCACAAATTTCCCAAAACTGCTATGAGAATAAATTATTTTTTTGATTATAATGAAAAAACTCTCCTGGTATTTCATACCTGGATTTGTTTTCTTTTGATATATTGCCTTAATTTCGTTGGCATATTTTAATATGCACGTACATATACGTTCTTACAGATACCACAATAAATATTCTAGGCTGTATATATACGGCCTTGCCGCTTAGAGGGTTAATTTGGAATACAAGTTTAAATGCAAGAATTATTTCAATTCATATGAATAGCTTACTCAGAAATTATGTAAAACCGCAGTGCTTTATTTGCTAGTGCATTCTCATTAGAATCGATGAATTTAACCCTTGATTTTGCCTTTTCTATATTTTCGCCTTCGGGTGAGTGGTGTGATTCCATCCTAATTGACTTAATTACCACAGTCTTAGGTCTTAGGGCATAAAATTTAATTATCTTTGTAAATATTTTATGTAATTGTATGCCAGTATTGAAAGAAACAATCAATCTGGTAAGAAATGGCTGCGAGTATTCCTTTTGTAATAGGAGATTAAAAACAATTGACATGCGTTGAATGCTTCGTAGCAGTGAATATACGATGTCTCAGCAAGATGACAGTTGAATCGGTAGCCAGGAAGGCCATCAGTCGTTTACAGCAGAGTCAAATGCAATCCATTGTAACGGAAGCATTAGGATTTCCCCAAAATGTCATTTCCAGATTATGGAATTGGATTTTGAGAAACTGGATATGTTTTGAAATTCCGGACAAGGTTGTGTTATCGTTTTAAAATAAAAGGCAGAACATATACATGCATTTCGTTTAAAAAAATGATTAATATATCTCTACTTTGGAGAAATAAAAGTGGTCAGGAAGAACGTTTTGGTTGATGTACTGCAAACATTTTATTACACATTTTTATCAGACAAATCAAGAAAATAAATAATTAATTATATATAATTAATTACAATAGTTATTAAGTTTAAATATATTTTCCAGAAATCGATCAAAATAAAAACTGAAATTTTCTGGAAAAACTTGTTTGGAGACCATTTGGCGCCCCTCTACGAGCGACGCCCGGGGCATCATGCACCCCCATGCCCCCCTCTCGCTATGCCACTGTGTGAAACTATGTTCCTCAAATCCATGCTCGGCAAGGGTTTACTATGTTGTGGACTTTTGTTAATTTAAAATAATAAAGCTGTTTGAATTATTAAGAGTACTCTGGAAGTCATTTCTTTGCAAACAAGATCTTTAGGAAATCATTTTTTGTTTGAATTATCTGTTTTTAAATGAAAGATAGTTCAGCATATTCAGAAGTGTCCCTTACACTGTCTGACAAAAAAAAAAAAAAAAAAAAAAATTACGTTTTAATGAATGATATTTTTTAAAAAATATATCTGTTTTGATGGTAAATAAAAATTTTAATTTTAAAAGAAGTACATTTATTATCTGTTATTAAAGCATATGGCTAAACGCAAAATGTATCATTTATTAAAATTATTGAGAGATTAGTTGGATTATGTTATGCTTTTTGGTGAAACATAAGTTTTTCTAAGTGACTGTAGTAAAAAGTTTATTTGGATATTGCTTGGCACCTACTGATAAACTGCCTCCAATTTGCAGGTCTTTTTTACCCATGACATTTATTTTCAACATCTGCAGTTAAGAGTTTTTTAATTATTACTTTAGTTGGTATTAATTGGCAGTTGCTCTCAAAATTATATCAAACAGTTATTGTTCATAGCTCGTTTCTGTGTCTACATGAACTTTGCTAAATAAAAAGGCAAAAGACCTTTCTCAAACTGATTCCCAGTTTGCAATCTAAAGACCTGTGGGAAGTTGGTGACATTAAATTTCCATTGCACATCTTGTTAAGCTCAAGTACTGTTCTACTAAATGTACATCCTATACAATTTCTTTGCGTGAACATTCAGTTTTTTGGCAGAATACTGGATGCCTGGAAGTGATGTAATTTTTTTGCTTTATTCTCAGCAAATCTATTAAATATATAATGCAGAATAAAATCAAAATTAATGCAAGATACAGAAATATTGCTTGAAAAGTTGCTTTAGACTTGAAACGGTTGCTAAAAAGACTGATGCAGTGTAAATATGCATTTTCTCTAAATGATTTGAAGATGATATTAAAATAAGAAAACCCATCCTACCTAGCAAAAGGGAGGGAGAAGAAAAATATTAGCAAGAAAAGAAAAAAAAATAAAAACTTTAATTTTTCAAGAATAATCTGGAAGAGTTTCTAAGGTTTCCGTGGTAGTGTTGAACTCTTTTGGTTTTATTTTCATACCTACACTTCTCTGTTAAAATTTCCTTCCTTATTATTCTCATACCATTTCTAGCACTCTATCTATTTTCATTAGTGATACTTTAACTGTTTGACTTTTTTTTCATTGGTATGATGGGAAAAGGATTATTTTTTATTTTTCTTTCATCCCATGAATAAATAGTATGTTATACTGTATATTCAAGGCATAAATTAATCTGGAGCCTGGCTGTTTTGTGGTTTTTAAGTGAAATTGTAAATCTAACTGGAGATGACATATTGATACAATCCAATGAACAGAATGAATCCACTCTAAAACAAGAAGTAAAATATGTAGAAAAGATCATAATCTGAATAGACCATGTTACACTATAAAGTGTAGTTCTATTATTACTGTATTTAGAATGAAAGGATAAATCATATTTTGAAGAAGAATACAATATTGTAGCATCATAATAAAACTAAATGGAATTTTTTTCAAATAAAGCAAGTATGGTAATCATTCCTTGTGAATTTTTTATCAGCAGACTTGTGTGGAAGTTTATGTATTATTATGACTTTATATCGCACCTTTTATATTTTAGTTACTGCAATAGCTAAAAAATACAGAACCAGATTTTAGTTTAAAATAAAAATTGCTGTGCTTTTGAATATATATATATATATTATTTGTTATGTTACAGCCAAAGATTTTATATTTTTGTACCTGTGTATAATAGTAAGCAAGGCTATAATGGAAAAAAAAATAATAATAATTGTAATTTCAGTTTTCATCCTCAGTACTATGCTGAAACCAGATGTTTGTTGCTTACTGCCTGTATTTGGTGGTGATAAGATGAGTTTCTGTTATTCATCACATTTATGATCCTGAGATTGACAGAAAGTTGAGATTTCACTTTGCTACTTTAAAAAGGGAAACAAATGTATTCAAAATAAATTAATATAATATTCAACAACATTTTAAAAAATATTTTATTTTAGGCTCATCCTTATGAGAAAATACTTTCCGAAGAGTTGAAGAAGAACTGGAAGGCATCTAAGATGGTTCTTTTTTATCATATGAATCCTTTAACTGTGGCGGAAGAAAAGGAAATAAGAAAATTATTTTTTAAAAAGGCATGGCTTTAATTTTTTTTTATTTATTTATTTAACTGTAAAATTATAATGCCTGGTTTGAAATTTTATTACATACATCTTCATATTTGTTAAATTATTTTGACCACATCTAGTGTAATTTTTTGTAAATTAATTCATTTTCCCAAACAAAATATTGATATTCAAATTGTGTGCTTATTCACATGCACAATGTCACATGCATTTTAATAATCTTTAATCTTTTCAGGATCTTTTTTTTCATGTATATAATTCAACTGTTGTAAAGCTAGCTTTGGATGGTACAGAATTTTATAGATCAATATCACACCTCTTTGAATCAAGCTCAGCATTCATATTTAGTGGTGAAAACTTAATTTCTGATGCTTTGAAGCTTAATAGGAAAGCTACACAGATAGTTTTATTAGGTAATAACATATCTTATATTTAATGCATTTCATGCTATATTATACTTGAATCTTTCAGTTTGAAGAATATGATCATGTGCTTAGGGAAAAAATGTAACATATCTTAAATTTCTCTCATTACCTGAATTTTCTGCATTCTAACAGAGCTTTGTTAAGTTTTGAAGAAATTTGCTTCTGTTTGTTCTTTTAACTGATATACATATATGCTTAAGTTATTGCATTTATAAATGCGAAAAATATGCTTTCCAGTTTTTGGTGTTTGTCTAGATAGGTAATTTATATTAAAATTCCACTTTGGTGCCTTTTCCTTGTATTTGTAATGTTTTGGTTTATTAATATGTTAGCAGTAATTTTATTACATATTTTACTGTGTTACAAGTAAGTTTTCATCTAAATACTTCTTTTATCTATATACACTGTTATTCAGTATATGATGCTACAAATCAGCCATTAATGGGCCTTTGAGAAATGCCTTTTGTGTACAATAAAAACAGGTGCACTTAATATTTAAGGAGAAAATATTGTTAAATGTTAACAATGAAAGTACCTGTTGTTTCATATCAACAATGAAGTAAATCTGCTGCCTGAAGCTGTATGATAGAAATACCTTTTGTATTATAATTTAATCACGTAGCAGTTTCAGTCACTAGTCTTGTGATGGCTTACCCTTTTATATGGCATCTGTGTAAGAGAAAATTAGAAAATGTTTTACAGTTTAAATAATAATAAATATTTCCTGTGGCATAAATGAGACATGTTTTTTAAGTGCATACCAGTTTGATATAAAAACTTCAAGTGCAGTTTTTTAACGGATTTGTTTTTACATGAAAAGCTGCACCTTGATCTATTTTCATAATCATTGTTGTAAAGCTGACCACCTAGATGCTGTTTTTTTAAGTGTAGGAACTAGTGGTAGTCACTGGGTGCTAGATCAGGGCTACACAGAAGATGATCAAATTGTTCTGAGCCATTTGATACAACGAGAGCTTGGGTTTGACAAAACAATCCCCTTGTTGAGCATGCCTTACCTTTTGTTTCGGATTGCACAACACAATTTAGTTAATGTCTTACACTATGTCTTGAAATTTGTCTCATTTTGAGACAAAAAATTCTTAATCAGCATTCCCTGTGCCATATTTCCTGGTTTGCTAGGATATGAAGCTGCAATCTGAATGCACTAAACATTTGAAGAGACTTCTTTGAAATCCTTCATAAAAAGAGCACTGTTGGTAAATCTCTTAATGAAGGCAACTTGAGCTTAAAAAACTTGCAAAAAAAAAAAAAAAAAAATTAAACTATCCAACAACTGATACGACTGCACTAAATGTTTTCATCTGGCTGATGATCTGTGCTGGTTAGATGTTTAACAATCACATATTGTCGCCAAGCAGACATGTAGATTTTATAAAATGTTAGTGATGTTGGGTTAATGTAATCCAAGAATTACTTTATGTTTCATTGTTATTCTGTTAAGAAACTTCATTTATGTAATGTCTGTATGCTGAAAATTGATTTATTCTTTTCTTTTCTGCAGCTGGTGTTATCGACAATATGCTTTACAGTAGAAATCAGTTGACGGAAATAAGTAACCTACCTAAAAAGCCTGTTCGTGAAGAGCTTGTAGGTCTACTTGACTGTTTAACATCAAAAATAAGTCAAAATATCTGTCATCATTCCCAATTACTGTGCCATTATTTGAACAATGTATCAAAGGAAAAACTGTAGATTTTTATTGTCATAATAAAAAGTTTGTGTAATTTTGTTTCTGAAATTTTTTAATTAATTAGTATAAATTAACAGTTTCTAAAATTTTTAGCAGTAAATAGATTTCTGCTATTCATATAACTTCAGTATAATCAAAGAACAATTTCCATATACATTAATAGCCAGAGTCCTTGGATTATTGTATAGTTTTCAACCTCTTTGTTAGTTGCTGTGCAAAACTAAAGTTCATTTTTAACATTTAAGTAAAATTGACTTTGTGTGAAACTAAGTATCTGAAAGAGTAAAAATTTTTATGTGCAGCATGGAAACGCATAGTCCTAAATTGGCTATAAAATTGTGTTTCTGAATCTGTGCGAGAGTCTTTCTGAAGAGCCCCCCCACACACACATTCACTGCTTAGTCCTCTGAATTAATCATAAATTGTATACCCCTGTATGAAATGTGATTCAGTTGCTCTGTTAAATATACAAGATATTTAAATGCATTACAGATACATTCTCTTATTCCTCATTAAAATTTTGTTTAATTATTGATTTGACTTGTGGAAAGCAACTACATATTAACAATTCTGTTGCTTGCCTAGGCCGCGAATTTATTTACAATAATTACAAGAAGCATTAATTTGCCAAATTGGTTCTGTTTATGGATTCCATTAAAGCTTCTGTCGTTTTCCTCATAAGTAAACTGAGGGCATCCATTTATATCCTATTTATTCACTGTTCCTCATTTACTAGTTGCCAAATCATTTACATGCATCCAAAATAACTTGAATACAAATCATTCTTTAATACTAGTCTTTTACATCTGTTACGTGCTTACTCATCTATGTTGCATTACAAAATCCAGGAAACCGTCATGGAACAAACACTCCAGTTCACTGTAAATTATAGAAGTTTGTAGAAAAAAGTTTGGTGACATGGCTTTAGTGAGTATTGTAATCCTTGGCATGTTGTTTCATCAAAAAATGTGCACAATATTGTTTGTAACTGCATGTTAACCCTACTTATTTTGCATTTTCAGTTTTTAAGGTGAATTAATAAAATTATATAATCCTGTAATAAGTTTCATTGTTAGTGTATATATATATATATTACAAAGTATGTCATTGCCTCATGAATGTGCAGTGACAGGCATTTACAGTTACATCTGATGCACAGTTTCAGTTAAGATCTTGTAGAAAGTTGTCAGCTAGTGATAGACAGATTTAGTATTTTAAATTGTGTATCAGGTTGACGTTTAATTTTTTTATCGCCATCTTAAAATTCATAAATTATAATTTTAGAAATATATTTTATTACATTAAATAAGTATTAAAAACTTAAAATGCCATTTATGGAATTTCGATAATTGATCCCCCCTCATTTAGTAGAATCTATAAGTAGAAAAGCATGCAGCCACTCAGTGGAATAATGGCTAGTGGCTCTTGACTAGCCACTATCCCACTGGTACCAAAGGGCCTGAATTTAAATCCCATAGATGGCATGGATAGTGTAAATGTGTAGTGTCTTTTGCAGAATGGCAGTCTTCTAAATGTATAGTGAGTTAAAAGACCTCTCATGTAGTTTGGTGGTAGTTTAAAGAAAGGTAACAGACTCTTAGACTGCCTCTCCAGGGTGCTGTCCCTCAAAATTAGTGTAGAACTGGGTAAAGTGGTACTGGGACCACTTTGCCAGTGATAATTGCAATTTAAAAATTTAAAATACTAAATCTGTAACGCTAAACTTGCAAGAGCTCAAGACTCTTGCAAATGACAGATGCAGTTTTGTACTCCTTGCCACAATAAAATTTGTGAGCTTGGAGCTTATTTTAATTAAGTGAGATCAGTCACAACAAAACAAAAACATGCGATTTTTCATTACTACCTTCCCTTAATAACGTTTTGATTGCACATTCAATCAAAATAGGTGCTTTATTGAAAACTTAAGAAGATTTAATAATGCAAGCATTTAAAATTACATTTACTTACATCCAAAAAAAGATTAAATTAAATCCATTAAAATATTTTAAGTTTCCAAATAGATAAATTTTCCTGTGGTATATGAATATAGTTCAAATTTAAATTTCAGGTTTTAGTTATGCATGACTTCTTTTTCAATCTGCTTGTGTCTGCACAGTTTAGGATCAAATTAATAAAGTGCATTTTATCTTTTAGTTCATCATTTACTATTTATTTTTGAAGATATGATTAAATTACGTCCAAAGGGGCATTTTTTTTTTTTTTTTTTTTTACATTTTGTGTGTTCACTTTATTTATTAAATATCATGTTCTACGTACTCAAACTATAAAATTCAGTTCAACAGCAATATCACAAATTAATTTTAAAATGACCATATATTTAGAATTTCTGATACCGAGTCTTGCGTGCTGGAGATAATTTTTTTTTTCATACAGTGTTGCCATTGCTCACTTTGAAATCATTTAGTTTTTTTAATCAAAAATTTGTTGAAGTGTTACAAAATCTGAATTTGATAATAGAACAAAATTCAAATTGCGGCTTCCACATGCCCATATTCTATAGAAGATTACTTTATTCAAATTTTGATGGCTCTAGGTACTGTTGTTATGCAGATTTTTTATTATTTAATTTCTTTAAATATAAGACAGAATGATAATATGTGGTGGCAACGATTTGAAAAGTGATACAGCCTTTAAAGTTTTCGATGGAAAATGCCAAAACAAATTTAATAGCTTTTTTCAGGGCAGATTGCCCCTTTGGACTAAAAGAAATTTTAAAATTATTTTTTAAAACTTCCGCTTTCAGTTTAATTAATCTGAGTTATGGATAGCAGTGTTCATCCATTCATTTTCATTAGGTGTGTACTGTGTAATTTTGTTTTAGTTCATTGTATAAAAAGGAAAAGCTAAGGATACTTCTTTATATATCATTTTTATTACTGTCTTTATTTTATGAAGTGCATTGCAGCTTTCTCAGCCATCCATATGTTCTGAGAATAATTTATTAGTCAATTAGGGCTGATGAACTCTTTATTTTATTTTCCTTGACCCTTTCATTATGTCAGTTATCCTTTATCAAACTTGTAAATATAGTTGTTATACCCATTTTGTTTCTATCTTCTACATTCTTTACATTCTTCCTGTTTCAGTGTAGTCTCAGAATTTTATGAACTGAACTACAGATGTATACCTTGCCAAAAAATGGGAGGGGGACAGTTGGGACATCTCCCATTCTACTGGGCCGATTGATGAAATTTAACTTTCATTTATCATGTCTTGAGAGCACGGCGTAGGTTACATATTAGATTTATGTATAGCATTTTTCGAACATAGGTATTCTGACACAAAATTGCACTTTTTCTGCAATGACATGATTATTTTTTCCATATTTCGATTGTACTACTCATATTATGCTAAAGAGCTAAATTTTGCAAAAATAGCATCAGTAGTTTTTAAAAAATTAGCTCTCAAATTTTAGCATGGTATATATATTTATTAGTATATCTTTTCTTTTTTATTATACTTACTGCATTCTTTTTTTTTTTTTTTTCAATTCAAAATTTAGTTTCAATTCAAATAAAATTCACAGCTATTTTCTGATTTGTTTTTAATATTTGTATTTTTTGTAATTTTTATGAAATGTTTCAAAAACAATCTTATACATTAACCTACAAAATTTTTGCCTTCATCTTAAAGTAGATGTATTTCTAGGCATACGAGCAAAAAATTGTAATTTTTTATTTAAAATTTCTGAATTTATACATTAATTTATATATTGGTGCATTTTGAAATTTGGCATATTTTTTATAAGCAATAATAATGCTAAATATGGTTTATGTGCATTGTTAAACTTATTTGAAAGAATGAACAATGCATATTTTATTCCACTTGTGCACTGTTGAAAGGGAAAGGAAAATTGGTTACCATAAATTAAAAATTTTGCCAAATTCTTGATGCGAACTGAAAAAACTGCGCCAAGAGGAATTAAAAAATTTCTTGGTAATTTTCATGTCAAACTTTACAAAATTTAATATTTAGGCATAATTTGAATTGTAGAAACAAAATATGGAAAAAAATTACTATGTCATTTCAGAAAAAGCCCAATTTTTGTCAGAATGCCTATGTTAGAACAATGTTATATATAAATATAATATGTATTCTAAGTTGCGCTTTCGAAACATGAGAAACACAAGTTAAATTTTGTCAATTGGCCCAGTAGAACAGGAGCTATAGAACTGTCCCCCCTTTTTTTGTGTAAAGTGTACATCAAGATGTAAAATAATGATCTGCAATTTAAACCAGTTATATGTCTGAATTATTTTTTACAAAATAGTACATGAAGGCAGTAAGGATCATTTTAAAAATAACCATAACCATATAATAACCATTTCATTAACCATATAAACCCACTTCATAACCATGTAAATCATATTATCTATACAAGTTTCTCTTTAGCAGTGAAATTCTTTTTTACTCCTTATCAGTCACATAGGATATATCTTTAGGACAGTCTTTAGGACTTGTGATCTAGCATAACTGTTTTTAAGAATCTATCAATTACATGTGTATTTGGAATGAGCAGAAAAATTTTAAAATAGTTTCCCCACTTCCCTGATTATCCACTGTCTGAATTACTTTTAAGCATGTGAGATGTGTTTCTTCTTTTTAATACACCCTGTACAAGAGTGTATCAGACTATGTAAAAATGAATTCTGTGCAGTTTTGTTTTAGTTCACCATATAAAAAGAAAAAGCTCATGGTACTGCTTTGCATATTCTTATTACAATCTTCATCTTATCAAGTGCGGAATGCAGCTTTCTTATTCAATAATAAACTACATGATCTGAATGTAGTTTATTATTGAATTAGATATGATAAACTTTTTATTCTATTCCCCCTGACTACATACCTTAAGTATATTGGTTGTCCTTTATCAAAGTTGCATATATAGTGTTACACCCATTTTGCTTCTGTCTTTCACATTCTTCTCGTTTTAGTATTGCTGTCAGAATTTTATGAAGTGAGCTACAGATGTGTATTGAGATGTAAAATACTGATTTGCTATTTGAACGAATGGTTC